CGGGGTGATGGGGGCTGTGGGTCGGGGTGACGGGGGGCTGTGGGTTGGGGTGACGGGGGCTGTGGGTTGGGGTGACAGGGGAGGGGAGGGGGGAGGACCAGCTCCCTGGTCTGGAGCCACCATGATACCCGGGCAGTGTGGCTCAACCAGGTCTGTGGGGCTGAGAAGAGGCAACCACGTCAAGGCTCAGGACAGAGCTTCTAGAAAGGGAAGGCTGGGTTGTGGACACTAAGGACAAAGCCTTCTTGAGGCCCCCGGGGGAATTTTGACTCTAACCCAGCACCCCTAGACCCGAAGCCAGCAGCCAGGGGCAAAGAGCTGGCGGAGGTGGGGGCGGGGCTCAGACCAGGGCGGGGGCTGCACTGGCTGCCGCCGGGGTCACCAGCCCCGAGGCTCGGGCAGGGTAGGGGACACTTGCTGGCTGCCTGCCTACAGGGACACGGGCCCCCCGGGAGTGACCCCATCCGCAGCGTCAGCATCCAGACCGGATCCGGTGTGGCAGGACCGCAGCCCTTCCGGCGTGGATGCCGATGTGCCTCGTGGGGTGAAAGCCTTCCTCGGGATCTGACCTTTCCTTTTATCAGGGTGAGTGGGGGGGGGCGTCAGTTACAGCAACAGCTGCGTGGGCCCCACACGCTCCTTTGCTCTCACATGAAGACGCAGCCTTTGGCTGGGTGCCAGAGCGTCACCCCGCAGCTCCCGCTGCTCAGGAGATTTGAGGATCCGTTTGAAGCCAGCCCAGCAGGAAAATCCGACTCTATCACCAGTGAACCACCAGAGAGCGGAAGTGGCACTGTGGCTCAAGTGGTAGAGCGCCAGCCTAGAGTGAAGAAGCAAGGGACGGCGCCCAGGCCCCGAGTTCGAGGCCCAGTCCTGACGCACACAGGATCGCTGAGGCTGGAATTCCCGGGGGGGGGGACGGCAGCGAGGAGGCCGGCGCTGGCAAGGGCCGGCACCTGGGGGCAGTGTCTGCAGGGGTGTTACACGGAGCCAGTGTCTGCAGCCCGCTCCTGCTGCGGCGGGGTGCTGGGCGGCTTCTCTGGGCTTCCCTGGGGTGCTGGGCTGAAGAGCTCTAGCAGCTCTGAGATCCTAGCGATGGTCACTTGTTGACCCCTCCCCCCCCCACCCCAAGCGTGCTCAGGGGACCCAGAAAGCCCCAGATACGAAGCCCCCGGGATTTCGTTCCCAGAGAAGCACATTCCGAGCTTGCACTCAGCTGGCTGGGGATCAAGTCCTGTGTCCATGGATCCCAGGGAAGCAAATGGAAGCCCTGCACCCCAAGCCGCACCACAGGGTCCCGTCCTTTGACCATCCTTCCAGAACCTTCTACACACTCAGCAGGAAGACCAAGATGTAGGTGCCTGTGAATCTTAGCCAGGCACTCAGGATGAACAGGCAGAGCCCAAGGCCACAGCAGATCGGGGCTGCGGCCCAGAGGATGCCCGGGGCCTCACGGAGCATCTACTTGCATGCTGGCTGCGAGGGCAGGGAGGGCTGGGAGACAGGCACGTGCGTGGGGGGAGAGCAGCCTCGGCACCACCCAGTGGCGTGGAAGGACCAGAGCGTCCAGTCGGGACCGGGGAAGGCCCAGGCTGGGACGGGGGTCAGCCTTCACGTCCACCATGTGAGGCCCCCGGGGTCAGCGGGGAGGGAGGGGCAGCCTGCAGGGGAGGGGAAGCTCTGGCCACCTGAAAGGTTTTGCTTGGCCCAAGAATTCACTTTAAATTCGCTTTAGAGCCGGGAACGCAGCGCCCCCCATCCTGCTCCTCCTGCACTCTCCTCGGTCACGCTGTCTTCAGACAAGAGCCTGCCTGCGGCTTGCGGTGCAGAGCCCGCCAGGGTCCAGAGTCAAAGATGGAGCTAAGGGCCGGGCAGGCCCTGGGCCCGGGGCTGGGGTAGCCTGCAGACCTCCTCACTCGGCCCCAGCTCTCCCCACCGGAGGCCGACGGCAGTCTTCCTATGGCGCCGCGGTCAGTGTCCTCTCTCTGCCCTTCACCATGTCTCTTTAGTGGACAGAGTGGGTGAGTGGCTGGAGCTGGAGTGTAGCCCCTGGAGTTGTGCCGAGGGGCTAATGGCCCTGGTGCCTGTGGACAGCGGTCCCAGCCCTGCTGAGGGCCCGGCTTCGCAGCCTCCCACCGCGGGGGCTCCAGCTGCCGCCGCCCAGCACACGAGCCCTGTAAATGTCTCCCTTTGTGAGAGACGCAGACCCAGGAGCTGGGTACTTCACTAAGATGACAAAAAGCCAGCCATACTCTGGACCCCAGATCTCAGGGAGACGGAGTCCCGGACGCAGAGTGCACCCTGGGGGAGGGCGCCGCTGGCGTGGCGGGCAGCGCCTGCCTGCAGGACAGATGCCCTTCTGCAGGGGACGACTGGATTCAGCCCTGAGTGACTAGGAGAATGTCCCTCCACACCCCTCCCCCTGCTCCCCGAGGACACAGCAAGGGAGAGAGGGCAGGGGCCAGGCTGACGGGCCCAGGGCCCCGGCCCTTTCTCCCCAGCTCCAGGGAAGAGTGAGATGGAAGACAATGCGGAGCTGGGGCTGAGCTCTGCCGTCCCCTTCCCGTCCCTCCCGCCCTGCCACCGTGACTGTTGGGGGCAGGGGTGCCGCGAGGAGAGGACACTGGAAGAGTACTATCTGGCGGGGCTCCCTGGCAGACAGGGCTCTTGGGGCGCTGGGCCAGGCCTGGGTGGAGGCTGGCGCTACAGCTGGGCTGGGAAAGTTTTGCTTCTCGTCCCAGGGAGGCGGATGGCGCTTTGCGTGGATGATGGTGGAGAGATGAGGTGTTTTGCTTGGAAGAGGCCTTGGGTGTGAGCAAGCCGCATTGTCCCCCCTCCCTGGCCCTGCCCCAGCCACACGGAACCCAACCGCAGTGTGGAGGGGCGGGAGCCCGGCGGCGCGGCCCTGGGCTGGCCTGGGAAACGGGCGAAGGGGACTGGAGGAAGCCAGGAGGCTCCCGTGTCCAGCAACTCCCGCTCAGCCCCGGGAACACGGAGCCGGTTTCCTCTTCTGGGGAATTCTGTCACCCGGCGGGGTGGCCGTGGGTGCCGCCTGTCCCGTTCACCCCCCCATCCCTGGCCCCAGCCCTTCTTGGAGCCGGGGCTGCCCCCCCCCCCGCCCACCCCAGCCCTTCTTGGAGCTGGGCTGCACCCCCCCCCGCCCTTCTTGGAGCCAGGGCTGCACCCCCACCACCATCCTCCCCCACTCCCCGCCCACCCTGGCCCTTCTTGGAGCCAGGGCTGCAAGAAGGCAGCTGGTTACAGCAGCATGGCGGCGGCAGAGACCCGCGCCGGCCCACGCCAGAGAAGCTGGGATGGCGAGGCGAGGGGGCGCCGGCTTTATACCAACTGGTTCACAGAATCACGTCATTCATTAGAAGGGCAAAGGTCAGGCAGGGCGGGCCAGGTCTCCCCAGTGGTTTTTGTGTCATCATCCACAGAGCTGCACCTGGTCTGGTGCAAATCCACGTTCCCACAGAATTCCCTCCTCCAGCCCTGGGCCTGGGCCTGGGCCTGGGCCCGGTCCCAGCCCCAGCCCCAGCCCCAGCCCCAGCCCCAGCCCCTGCCCCTGCCCCTGCCCCTGCCCCTGCCCCTGCAGCAACAGCATCTCCCATTGAAAGCAATTCTTTTTATTCTTAGTCCAAGACTGGGATTTGATCTTGGTATCTGATGCTTTCACGCACTGGCTGATATTCTACCACCTGAGTGCCTCCAAACCCCAATTCTTCTCATTCTTTCTATTTTTAAATTTTATTTTATTTTTTGCAATACTGGAGCTGGACCCCAGAGCCTTGTGCGTGCCTGGCTGGTACTCTGCCACAGAGTTACATGCCCAGCTATAGCTCCCTGTTAGTGGGCTTATGTGGATAGCAGAAGTTCTGCCATTTTTTAAGAGAAAGACACAAGGATGATGATGTAGATTTCCCTCCAGACAACTGTCAGGCTGTCTTTGAACTTTACCCAAAAGGGTGGGCAGCAGCAGCAGTAGCAGCAGGGTCTCTTGGCTGCTCCATTGGATTGTCACACCTTCCGCAGGGCTGCAAATTTCTACACAGACTGGTTAAGGATTCATTACATAGGCTTAGGCATGGGCTCAGGACAATTTAACTAGGTATTTCTTTTTAATAAGGCTAGGGTTTCTCAGCTCCTTGAGTCGCTACAGTCAGATAGAAAATCCTGAAGGATATATAGCTTTTTTCTCCTCCACCCCCACCCTGACCAGGACCAGGACTTGAACTCAAGTTTGCTCAAAGGCTGGCACTCTACCACCTGAGCCATGCCTCCAGCTCTGGGATACAGCTTTTTTACCTGACAACCCCCAGTTTTCTGTTTTAGAACTAAACTTATGCTCGCTTTTGTCTTCCTTCCTTCATTTCCAGAGTTTGGTGTGTACTGCAGCCACTGCCGGAGTGAAGTCCGTGGAACACAGTGTGCCATCTGTAAGGGCTTCACATTCCAGTGTGCCATCTGCCATGTGGCCGTGCGCGGGTCATCCAACTTCTGTCTGACCTGTGGCCATGGTGGCCACACCAGCCACATGATGGAGTGGTTTCGGACTCAGGAGGTGTGTCCCACTGGATGTGGCTGCCACTGCTTGCTGGAAAGCACCTTCTGAGCTTAGGGATGGTAGCGGTGTCAGAAATGCCAGGGGGCCTTACAAACGCCTTCTCCTGGGAGAAGCCTCAGGACCCAGGTTGCCCCCAGCAAGATGGGTTGTATGTACCCAATCGGACTGATGCTTCATGAGCCTTTGCCTTCTCTTTGGGAGAAGATAGACCGGAAGAAGGAGAGAGCCGCTGCATAAAGCCAGGTTTTATGCATTTGTCAGCTGAGGAATCACAGTGGAAGTTTTCATGCAGGAAAGCCCTTGCCTTCAGAGTCAATACTGACCTTCAAAGCATTAGCTTTAAACCATGAGCGAGCACTCCACATGCCAATATATAGACCAACTTAGCTGCTAAAGGCAGCCTCCTAAGCCAAAGGTCCACAAGTGGGCCTTTGACGCTTTAGAAGTTGATAACCTTAAAGAGTTGAAGCCAGAAAGTGGCGCTGTGGCTTAAGTGGTAGAGCACTAGCCTTGTACACAAAGAGGCTCAGGGATAGTGCCCAGGCCCTGAGTTCAAGCACCACAACCGACAAAAAAAAAAAAAGAGATGCTGGTCAGTAGCCTTCTAAGATATGATACTGAAAGTGTAAATATGTAATATACTTACAGGTTCTTAACTGTATATTTTAACATTTCCAGTCTCTTTCCTTTGGCTAATAAAACTAGTAATCGTTAAAGCAAAACAAAAAAACAGAAAGTTAACCATCTCAGTGAATCATTTTCCATCCTACATCTGATTTAAGTAACTGATTTGGATGAGACCAAAATCAGTGCTCCCATTTCTAAAGGAAATGCTCATTGATCTCAATCATATGACAGAAGAAAATAGAATTTGACATTTAAGGTTCTTCCCAGCCCAGAGAATCTCCTAATTATTACTTCTAGCAAAGGAAGTTGAGATTGCAACTCAACATTGGTACGAAAGTCCCCTCTGCCTGTGCATCAGCTGTGTGGGTTCCAGTGAGCGTCTCATTTCTTCTTGGGCTCCCTTGTAAACCATGTCTTGAGTTTCGCTATTTACCAGTGGCCACAGCTCATGCATGCACCATTTCTTCAGAGTGAATTTTCCACACTTCATACTTTGAATGCGCCAAGGAAGAGAAATCTATAAAAAATTTCTGTTGAAGCTGGCTCACGCCTGTAATCCTAGCTACTGAGGAGGCTGAGATCTGAGGATCACGGTTCAAAGCCAGCCAGGGCAGGAAAGTCTGTGAGACTCTTCTCTCCAATTAACCACTAGAAAACCGGAAGTGATGCTGTGGCTCAAGCGGTAGAGTGCCTGCCTTGAACTGAAGAATGCAGGGATAGTGCCCAAGCCCAGAGTTCAAGCCCTACGACCGACAGAAAAAAAAAAAAATTCTGTTGAAATTCCTATTTTGTAGAATTTTGCAATTCCAAATTGACTATCTTGACTGTAAATAATGATGTGTCCCGTGATGGGAGAGGGCTGTGTCACTGTGTTCCAAACCACAGGTTAGCACCTGTTCATAGATTGTGCACTTAATTTGGTGATTAATAAAGAAAAGAAGGGGGCTGGGAAGGTGGCTCAATGATAGAGTGCTTGCCTCGCATGCATGAGGCCCTGGGTTTGATTCCTCAGTACCACATAAACAGAAAAAGCTGGAAGTGGTACTGTGGCTCAAGTGGTAGAGTGCTAGCCTTGAGCTAAAGAGCTGAGGGACAGCACCCAGGCCCAGAGTTCAAACTCCAGGACCAACAAAAAAAGAAAAGAAAATAGTGTAGAAGAGAAATGACCAATGTGCTCACTTCTGCATACTAATATAATTAAGGGAAATGTTTTGTATGTACACAAACTTGTACACAGGTTTGCTCCATCCCAGTGTAAATTCATTTCTTATTGAAGGTTGTGAGCTAAAACATTCCCAAACTACCACTTTGGATGATGCATATATCTTGTCCCTTGTGTAACTGACTGACCAAGAGACAACATTACATAAGAAAAAGGCTTAGAGCCTGCAGTGAGACCAGAGGCTGAACTCTAGGCTCTGACCCAGGTGTAGGTGCCAGTGTCTTAGAGGTGTGAACAGCCTTCCGTGCTGGGATGAGAGTGAACGACCCAGGGTATCAGTCTCACTCTGCGCTTCCCTTGTTTGGGTTACAATGACACAAGTGGTAGGCCTAGAATAGGTTGATCAAAGATCTCTTGTGTTCCTGAGTGAATTCACACCCTTTGCAAAGAATCCTCTTCCTGTTCCTCACTGCTTGAGCTAATGTGAAAATGTGTTAGTCTGTCCCCATCATGAATGAGATGTTCACTGGGGGCGGGGTGGGGGTGGCTTCCTACTTCCTATAATCCTAGGGACTCACGAGGCTGAGACTGGGATCCAGTTCAAGCAAAAAGTTTGTGAGACTCTCATCTGAACAAACAAAAAGCTAGGTGGCAGTAGTACAAGCATGTTGTTCCAGCCTTGTGGGAAGTGTAAATAGGAGGATGGTGGTCTAGGCAAAAAAAGTGAGACCATTTGAAAAAATAACAAAAACAAGGAGAATGATGGCGTGACATTGATCCAGATGCATTGTACACATGAATTGACATGTTGAAACCCTTTGTCCAACTATTTAAAGATAATATAAATTTTTTGTTGTTGTTGAACAACAGGACTTGAACCCAGGGCCTGGGCACTGTCCATGAGCTCTTTTGCTCAAGGATAGCCCCTTGCCACTTTACGCCACAGTTCTACTTCCAGGTATTGAGTGGTTGATTGGAGATAAAGAGAAAGTTTCATGGGGACTTTTCTGCCCAGGCTGGCTTCAAACCACAGTCCTCAGATCTCAGCTTCTTGAGTAGCTGGGATTACAGGCATGAGCCATCACCACATGGCATAAATACTTTTTTAAAAAGAAGAAAATAACAAAAGCAAAAAGGGCTGAAACAGGACAGGACTCAAGTGGGAGAGCAACTGCCTAGCAAGCATGATGACCTGAGTTCAAATTTTATTACTACCAAAAAAAAAGCTGTTATGTTGGCTTCTCATTTTAGGAATCTTGTCTTCCAAAACAGAAAAACTTCTATAGTGGAGGTGAACCAATTCCAAGTTTTAAAGCATTACATAATGTCTCTTTTCAATATGTGAATTGCTTTTGGATGTCCAGGTTACCAGAACAAAAGTCAAAACATTTTTTTAAATCACATTTGGAGACATGTTCATGTGGATGCTGGCCAGAGTCAATGTTCTGTCTGCCTCAGAATGGATAATTAAAAGCACCTCAGTCTTGTTTTGTTTTGAGACATTCTTGCAACAGATCCAGCTGTCTGAATTTGAGATCCTCCTGCCTCAACCTTCTAAGTGCAGGGATTACAGGTGTGTATTGCTATGTGCAGATTTTATTTTTAATTTTTATTTATTTTTAATACATTTTATTGTAAAAATACTGTACAGAGGGGCTGGGAAGGTGGCTCAGTGGTAGAGCGCTTGCCTTACATACATGAGGCCCTGGGTTCGATTCCTCAGCACCACATAAGCAAAAAGAAAAAAGCTGGAAGTGGCGCTGTGGCTCAAGTGGTAGAGCGCTAGCCTTGAGCTGAAGAGCTGAGGGACAGCGCCCAGGCCTAGAGTTCAGACACCACAACTGGACCCCAAAAAAAAAAAATACTGTACAGAGGGGTTACAGTTACATGAGCAAGGCAATGAGTACATTTCCTATCAAGCATTGTTGCCCCCTCCAGCTTTTATTTTTTTTAAGATCTTATCATCTGCATTCTGAAGTGCCTTTGAATTTGGCAAGATAAACAGAGTTAGCCGTTCAATTTGTACACCAGAAAGAAAAGGGTTGCTTCATCAGCCTCTCAGAAACAACAGGCTAAAAGGAATAGGTAACCGTCAGCTTGACTCTGTGTTCTTGTCCTTATCTCCCCCAGAATACAAATGATGTAATGCTTTCCCTGTTAATGTCACATATAATCAAGTATGCTTATAGTTTATTTAATATCCAGTAAGCCTACATTATTTGTGCATTTCACATTGGCCAAAGGGCAGACAGAAATAAATTTTAAAAATCACAAGAAATTTCAAGCTGGGTGCTGGTGGCTCACGCCTGTAATCCTAGCTACTTAGGAGGCTGAGATCTGAGGATCATGGTTCAAAGCTAGCCGGGGCAGGAAAGTCCATGAAACTCTTATCTCCAATAAAAAAGAAATTGTAAAAACAATTTAAAATCCTGTGCATGCATGACACACTCAGCTGATGTGAGTCCTGTGTTATTGTCAGTTTTGTTTAAATTACCGTGGTATCTCTGTGTCTCCTAGCTCTTAGTTTGGTGAATGTACACCTCTCCAGAAGCAAATGTATCCAGAAAACAAGGTAAAAGTGAATGTTCTCAACTGCATCCTGAGCATTTGCAGCTTTTTTTTTTTTTCTCAACAGTATCTCTGGAGCCACATACCCGCGGATCCCAAGGGTCTCCTGCAGAAATGACCATGCTGAAGTCCCATGCTGGGAGCTCTGTCCCTTGCTCAGTAGAACTTTGAGCGGCTAGCAGGAATGAGGGGAGAGAGCCAGTGTTTTGAGTGGTTTCATGTAGCAGCAGCCAAGGGAAAGAACATCCATGCATTCTACCAGAAGACAGATCTGGCAGCTGCCCCTGGGCAGAAAGGTTTGGGGAACAACCTAAACAACAGTATCACTTTTTTAGCCTTCTGTTTTTTTTTTTTTTTTAGATGTAGAAACAGTTCAAGCCCCAGGACCGGCAAAAAAGAAAAGAAACAGAAAAAAAGAAAAGGAAAAAAATAGTAAATCTCAGAAGTAATGGAAGAGACAACTAAATAACCCCAAACAATAGGAAAAGAAAGGTGAATTGGGACCCCCAAGTCTTGGGGAAGGGGGAAGTCTTCCAACCCCCAACCCAACCAAAGATGATGACCCAACTCCACCTGGAGTTTTGCAGCCCTTACTCCAGCAGTGGAAGACAGCCCAGCAGAATGAGGGTCCCACGAACACCAGGGAGCCAACACCACCAGACTCCCTGATCCTGCTGAAAGATATCTGGTGACCCAACATGAGATCACGTGACAAGTGCTTCCCCAAAAGGCCCTCTTCCTCCTCTTCCACCACCAAGACACCCAGCTGGCAGTCACCTTACTACAGCAAGGGCCTAGCTGGGGAAACATTTGTTTTCTCCTGTCCACTGTCCCCAAGCAGCCCAGTGGGGGAAATTCTTTAGCCCCTCCGGCAATACCAGCAGGACCAATGGGATTCCAGGGGCTATAGATAAATTTTGCCACCAAAAGAACATTTGGAATAATTAAAAAAGGAAAAAAAAACACCAAAAGTTCTGAAAATTCAATTGTTATTGGAACCCAAGCCCATGAAAATAGGCTAAGACTTTGGCACTAGATCACCTAGACAGGGTGACCTGCTAAAATAAAAGATTTCAATATGGCCTGGAGTTACCTAACATAATCTAATGTCCAGTGCGCAACTGAAAATCACCTGTTTCTGTGTTGAAACAGCGGGGAGGGTGAATCATACCTCACACATGT